AGATCCTTCTGAACATCCCTTGAATAAGCCTTCTCCTATCCTATACTGTTCTCCCACAGGGATGCAAATAGGGACGTTATGATCCATTTCATTAAAAAAAAGATATACAAATATGGATTGCTTTCTCCATTCTCCAAGCAGAAGCCTGTGGGTTGCTGCTGTATGGACTCACAAGATATACTTGCATAACTTTTCAGTAGCTGGTTCTTGTACATGTTTTTCATGCTACTGGTTGTCTCTACAGTTATGTCATATATACATTTTGCCCACTGCATCAGTTCCCCAAGTTTATTTTATAGGTTATGTTTTCCTTTTACTCCCCTGATTGTATTGTGCCTACTGATAGCAATACCCCGCCGCCTTTTTCTGATTGAAAGTTATTTTCTATAGCCTGTCTTAATTATTTCTTACACTCTTATGACAATAATAACTATCCTTTCCTGGAATGTTTGGGGCCTGGGGGACCCCCTGATATGACTACAGGTTTTCAATTGCTTGGCAACATATCATCTGGGTATATACTTCCTAGAGGAGACCCATTTTACTCCAGATAGTGAACAATGCCTACGTAGACCCAGGATTAACTTTGCCTTTTACTACCTACTCCTCCTATGCAAGGGGTGTTAGCAACCTTGTCCTCAGATGTATAAAAAGTATGGTTGTTGATAAATGGATTGATAAGAAGGGTCACCATTATTCTTTTTTTTATTACACTGCCAGATTGTTCCCTTACATGCGCACAGGTTGTAATATATATTCTTCCCCTACATTCACGGACTACACTTCTAATATTAGCTTTTTATCTCCACTGAAACCAGATCTGCCTTTTCAGTTGGTAGGAGATATTAAGAATACTTTGCTGGAGATCGTCAATACTCATGCTTTTCTAAAACACATATGTCCTTGTCAAATATTAATTTGTCACTGCGTGATAGTCATACGTTACCTTTTGCGAAGTCTGGTTAGTATGCAGCAAGGGGCGTATCATCTTCCCGATTGTTCATTTGTCCCTTAAAAAGTCCTTCTCCCTAGCTAAGCCCACATGGCAGCTTAATGCTGTATGGTTCCACCCACGTCACATGAGACAATACAACATCTTATGGCTGAGTTTATTTTCTACAAATAGGCTTCTACTAATTTTCTTATAGTGTAAGACGCTTTTAAAGCGCTTGTCACAGGGATTCTTGCCACCCTGATAAATGGCCCTAAATCTCGAACCAAATCTTTGGAAACTCCCTCGATCTACAGTTGGCAAGCTATGTAGGCAAGATACCTGTCAGATCCTATGTCTGACAACCAATGAGAGTGGATAGTAGATTATGAGACCTTAACCCCTTCATGACTGAGCTAGTTTTCAGGTTCTGTTCATAAATGACTGAAACATTTTTTACATTTTTGCTGTGTGATTCTTCCACAGCAGTAATATACTTTCTTACGAAATGTACCCACACATATTATATATAGTTTTTTAGAGGACAGATAGGGCTATATAATTTCCTTGCAGAAGCCAGAAAAGAAATCCTTTTTTTCACTAAATTGACATTTTTTGGTGATAAGACAGGCCAACTTCTGGCTACAACTGCTAAAGCGCAGTCAGAGATACGTCATATTGAGGTACTTAGAAAAACCGCAGAGCCTATTGTCAATTCCCCCAAAGATATCTTGTCTGAACTTACTAACTTCTAATCTGACCCTTATGACTTCAAAGTATTTTATTTCTACTCCTCTTCATTTAAATATTTTGGGGGTATAGACCTTTGTACTCTGTCTGCTTAACATCATGAAACAACCTCTTATAAAAATTGTTGAAGCTATAGCTAGTTTTTCACCACCATAAAGTCCCAGGTGAAGACAGCCACCCGGTAAAAAATTTTAGGAGGTATGGTGATATAATTCTTCCCCAAATGTTCACGCTACACTGTGAAGCCTTTCAGAAGGAGCAGTTTGCTCCATCCATAGCAGAGGCCAGAATAGTAGCAATATCCAAGTCAGGGATGGATCCTTTAGATCCTGTCACCTACAGGCTGACTTCTATATTAACGACTGATGTTAAAATACTCACTAAGGTTTTAGCACCCTGGCTAAACAAGGCTATCACTGTTATTAATTGCCAGGACCACTTCTATCAATATCTGAAATCTCTTTCTGAATATGCAGACCCCAGCAGATAACATGGAGCAGAAAGCCATTCTCTTATTAGATGCTGTATAGGAATTTCACAGTATTGACTCCAAGACCGAGAAATACCTTAGTGGGTGAAAAAGTTACCTATATTATATATTACTAATCATATCATCATGTCCTGAGAAAGAACTCCTCATCATACAATAAATGCAGTCTTTGTAACCTTCCAAATATGGAGATACTCAGCACAAAAGTACTCCACAAAAGAGGGCAATCAGGCCGCCAAAGGCTATCCACAGTCCTCCCTGCGGTCCACAACTTTCCACGAGCGCCGCACACGATCCAGTGGAGAGGAAATGTTTTGGAGTACAACTATGAGATGCATGAAACTAGATCTGTTTTAGAAGATGAAGCATAATCAATACATGTGGAAGATTGTCTCCACTATTTAAGGATCCATTAGCGCATTGCAATCACGATGGACTGTGCTCTGGAATATCTATTTATATTAGGGGAAGAGCTGGCACAAGTTTAAATTGAGAAACATAAGGATTGATGAGTGTACGGAAAATGTTTTCCAATGACGCTTATGGAACACTGGGACACACATGTGCAATGATGTTTGGTACATATGTATGATGAATTGGAATACAAATGTTAGGTTCAGTTATTGATTTCATGGGTTTTTAAATAACTTATGGTTCTTATAAGTGATTATTGGGGTGATGGTCTTTCTATATGTATATTTTTGACATAATGTTGAATTACATTTTGATTGTATACTTTTGTACTGAGTATCTTCATATTGGGAGGGTTGCATTTATTTTACAGTATTGACTGGAGATAATTGTGGGCAGTCGTGGCCCATTCGGCTTCAGTCCTACCATCATGCATTGAATTCAGTGCCTGTACTTAAATCTTACTGCCAAAATTTGGAGTAACGGTATGAAAGCCAGTGGTTTTAATTAATATAAGGGCACAAAGCAGTGATCCCAGTAGAATGGTGCCAATTTTCAAAATGTTGCTACGCTTCCTCTCGCAGCAGGTCTGCGACCAAATGTGTTGTGTAGGCGCACCTGACTTAACCCCTTAGGGTACTCAAGACACAGTTTTAGCATACCCAGGCTCCCATAAGGGCAATGCCCTGCCTTACCGTCCTCACATGCCCTGGATCGCACTAAGTAGATAGGAGATATAAGGCAGGATCCAGGGTTCATGACCCATTCAAACAGCTTTCACCCTAAGGAGCCTCAGGGACAAGGTTCCACCAGACAGATGTACTGGAGCCCTGGACCTGTAAAGCACTCACACCTTACACCAAGGGTGTCCAGGAGTACCTTAAGCAGAGTCCGCAAAGGACACATTTAAAGCCAGCCCTGCTTCTTCCCCACTGGGTCTGGGTACAGAGTCCAAGACTACAGAGGATCAGTCGATACCAGAAATCCACACAATGAGAGCAATACAGCAACAGAAGAATCTTGCAAGAGAAAAAAATAACTTGACATGTAAGCAAAAACAGTAGGAAGTGGGTTGCTTCTATCAGAGGGGGGAAGACATTTGTTCTCCAAGGAGACTAGCAAAAACCTGGAGCACGATGATAGTCGGATGAGTTGTACTAGGCTGTCGATACAGCTTTGTTTTGCCAGTGTTACATTTTCTAAAGGTAGCAGCATAACCCTATGTACCTGAATTATCATCTTGTATCCCTTAATGTACGCAAATATTTATATACATAGCCAAATAAAACTCAACTACAAATATACTGAACTAGAAAAGTACATTTTAAAGATTGTCTTACTACTAAAGCAATGCATACATTCCCATAATGCACAATTCGGTAACAAATGTGTTTTCCTTTTATTTGATAGGAAAAACAAACTATTATTTCAGATGATTTTGCATAGAACAATTATAAGACCCCTTTACTTCCTACTAACTGCACTGCTACACTTGCCACAGGTCATTACTAATGATACCTGTTTTACTAATAATAATACTAATAATAACCTACAAAGTTTGCCTGTGAACTGCTTCCAAATGGTAATAGAAGATGCCAACTGCGTGACACCCAGAAGTGGTGCTAGTTCCTCAGAAAGCATTTTGCTGTGCATGATGCTACACTTGATACACTGCAGAAGTAGCAACAGTTTTGGCAATTGGGTAACAGCCTCCAGTGATGTTAGTAGAATTGGCTGGGTCAGAATGTCTATTCTGACAAACCCCCTTTAAAAACAGTGCTTAGGTGTTTCATTTTTGCTTTGTTTATTACATAACAGAGTGTGAAGACTCTTGCGATGACAAAGTGGGAACACCACCATGTTGCTATACAGAGAACCTAAGGGAGAATTTAGGGTAAGTGAACAAAAATCATCCCCATAATTCAAGCCAACCTGTGACACTGAAGCCGGTCGGCTCTATTGATCGGGAAGTGAACACTAACCGCCAATCGCTGACTTCCCGATCCTCTCCCTGCAGAGATCGGTGACTGTCAACCACCGCTCCCCACAGGGATTCCCCCCTCCCCTCTCCGTTTCTCCAATGCTGACCTCTAGAGAGTCAGGGCCAGCTGTCAATCAGCCAGCGGGGTGGATCTTGACAGTATTGTCGGGATCCGTCCGGGCTGCGGTGTGGCTCTGCGTTACCAGCATATATGCTCAATTTTGGGTCACCGGAGGACATTAGTATATGTCCTATCGTGACCCTGAAGAGAACTATGGGGGAAAAAAGGTTGCCCCATAGTTCTCCTTTAAAATCAGGCCCCTTCTGTAACATCTTTCATACTGTACTGTGTTGCCATTTACTACCCCACCCTTGAACCTTTTTTGTATGCAAACATTTGCCAAAGAGTAATGTGTAATGATAAGTTAATTATTTACCTTTGTCCTGTGGTTTGTTGCTCTCTAAGCTGTAGGAAGGTTTCCTCGTGCTCCCTATCCTTTCTCTGCAGCTCATCCTTGAGAACATCTGTAGCATGCTCCAACTCATCTATGCGGTTCCGCTGTGATGCTATCACATTTTCTCTGCAAATAGAAAAAAAACACCTACATATTTAAGTTTATCCTGGCACTACATATATGGCAATTTATGATATAAAGCCTCCAGGGTTTAATGTGGTATGTGAGTGAACGGGTAATTAATTTAAATTGGCCTGTTTCTGGGTTATACATAGTTAATGTCTGAGCAAGCAAAAAAAAAATGTTTTCAGTATATTCCACAGAAACCAGTTTGAGATGTTTCTAAAATGTTAGTCTTTGCATATTGTATATCTTATCTCCTTTTGCCTCCTCTGGTTGTTAACTTTACAAATCCCCCCAAGGTTGTTTTATGTTTCTTAATATCATGAGTAGTCTTGTAGCTTTGTACACATGCATGATTTTAATTGGTTTATGCTCCGCCATCCCCCTTTTAGTTTCACGTTTAACACTTTTGTCTTAACAATAAACCTTTGAATATAGAGTGAATACACTGTTTTGTGTGCTTCTGTATTCCCAAGAACTTGTCTGAAGCTGGCAGCATGATTGAATCCTGGGAAACGTAAATTGAGTTAAGACCTACCAGGAGAAGTGGGTTTGAGGCCCTTCAGTGTAACTTTCCCGGTGGGTTCAAGGCACACTACTGAGAGTTCGAGGCCCTGCAGTGTAACTTTCCTGAGGGCCCCTAACAGTGATTAGCAATGTCTCAGATTTTTAATTTGTTAAATTTGCACTCTAAAAGGCTTTCATTGGGATCCAGTTCCCAATGTAAATGTGGAAGACAAATGGTAGAGTTGGACAATGTTAGAATGACAGCATCTGTGAAAATAAATAACTTGTGGGAGGTCTTATTAATGAATAAAGTCAGTCGTGTAAGCATTCAGACTGCACCTTTTTCATTACAGCTCTGAAATCGGAGAGTCAAGCCAAAGACAAAACTAAGGGCACACATTGTCCTGTGGTTACACAGAAGTCAGAAAGGAAATTACAAATTACATTTGGTCACTTTTTGGCCTCTAAGCCCTACAGGACTGTTAGGGTACCCTGTTGATAGCCACAGTCAGTTAGGGAAATCACATATTTAGTGTTTTGTGCTGGGTATCAGACTGTGAACATTGCTCTGGGATATGATTTTGGTAGGCAAGGACCTTGGTAAAACGCTTTTAGATTGAATTTTAATAAAGACTTTTGGACAGTAGCTTTCCAAGAGATGATAATCTTTCTCTTCTTTCTGCAGGTTGGCCATTTCAGATCCTAGCACACCAGACTGATAAGGGACACCCTTAATTAAGGGTTCAAAATTGGATAATAGTTTAGGGCTGCAAGGTAAGGCTACAGACACTGTATAGAAACACATAGCACTAAACTGAAATTCAACTGTGAAAGTGAAAATACACTTTAAAAGTGTCAGTGAGGCAGCCACCACCACCACTCCTCATTTCAGTGACCTGAGGTTCAGAGACATGATGGCTGTAAAAGGGGATCCTGCAACCTTCTGGAATGTAGGCAAGAGCTTGTTTGTCTGGACTTCCTCCAAGTGGCACATTTTTGTTCCCACTGAGATGGCAGCATGAGATCTGCCTTTTCCCATTTTATTGGGCATTCCAAAGGGTGTCCAACCAGTAATAGTTTCTCTATGTCATGGCCCAAATCCTGGGGTCCGTACACAGGCACTGAAGCATGAATAAGCCCATTCACATCACGGTGCTGTGGGTAGCAAATGTATTAAAAAGGACCCACACTGCTCAGCTATGTGGAACAGCCCTGGTGATAGCAGTGTCCTACACCAATGGAGAAGTGCTATCCAGTGGAATAGTATGGCTGTTCTCTCCATTCCTCTCCAAGCTGCCCCTCAGTGATGTTGCAGTTGCAGGAACATCAATAGCAATAACTCCTCCCTGCCTGTTGTCATCTCCCTCTAGGTTCCTTGTTCTTCTTCCTACATAATCAGTAACAAGAATTATTGAGCATCCTCCTCAGTCAAGTTACTGATGGTTGCTGAAATAATTCAGCAGAGTCCTCCAAGCCAGTTTGTGGGGCAATGGTGGGATTAGCTGTAGAGAGGTATGAAGAAAATGGTGCATTTGCAGCTGCTGATGAAAATGTGTTGCTCTGCACCTGCAAGGAGAAAGATGAGGAATGCATGGTTATCCTCTACACACCCTACTCAAGTGTTCTGGCTGTACGCTCAGTGCCAGAAAGAAAATGCAGACATACCCAGCCTCTCAAAGGTGTGGCCGGAGCAAGCTGATGCAGAACTTGCTTGTCACTGCATGATGGAGTTTAGCCTTTTAATATCAAGGAAGATGACTTTGAAGGTCACCGCAGTGGATGCGAGGCTACTCGTGCAAAGTGGCTCAAAAGAACTACTGATCTTTAAGCAGGTAATACAGATGCTTTGAATTATAACTGTCTGTGACAGAACAGGAATCACAGTAATATACAGTGTACTATGCCCAAAATAACAGCAGAGAGAATACCTGTACTGCACTGTACTTCCTAAATAACCATAGGTTTAAACTACATAGTTTAATTTAAAATATTATATTCAGGAATACTAAAATTACATACAGGTTTCTGGTCTCTGCTCGAGCTTCTTCAAGCAAACTGTGGCCATATCGTGGAAGAGCTGCTTGAGTAGATCTGCAAGGGACTTCAGGATTCTGAATTTTCATTCCTGCAGGTAAATGAATCACAATATAAAGACACAAGCACAGGAATACCCATGTGTAAATGTTTTTACAGTGCTCTCCAACCTTAATCACATTCACCTCACTTGACTTCCCAGATATGTGCTAGTAAGCTATCTTTACTTGGAACCCTCATCATAAACCTTTGAACCAACCAGGTGCTTTTCTCATCTTTGTGACTCAAACAAAATGACAGCTTTATATTGTCTATGTGCAACATCTTATTAAATAGACACCCAGGTCTCAGTGGGCTCAATTATACTACTGTGTAATGGGGCACTCTGGTGCCTCAACTCACTGTGTCCATTTCCACAAGCTTGATCACCACTGCACCCCTATTAAACATATCAGAGTACTTCTGGTATTGGGGCATACATGCATGCCCCCCACCCTCTCACAATGCAGGTCAAAGCCCTGTGGTATTGGGGTCTAGAGACTAGTCTAATCGGGTGCAAAAATCACAATGGAATGGAGTGGACTGCAGTCCTAAAAAACGAATGTAACCACTATATTTATGGACAGGTAAGCTGCAATATTTAAAAGTGTTGTTATTGGGTTTAGATACGCATTAAGGCATGTCTAAAAGCAAATTGCCTAACTGAAAATATATGAATTATATTCATTAAGAAATTACTATAATGTGGCAGTTTGAGCAGCTTTGCTGTTTTAGAAAGTTCTTACCAGTATTCAAAAAGTATCCTGTCACATTAAATGCCAATACATATTGTAAATACCTTTGCGCATAACTCCTTGCATTAATACATCTTCAGTCACTTTTCGAAGGCCAGAATTAATACGGGACTGTACGTAGTTGTATGGGGCATGTCTGTGTCCCTGGGTTTGCAGTTGCTGCTTAGCAGCGATTAAACGATTGTGTAATGACTCTTTTTGCTTCTCCAGCTCTCGCACATTCTCCTGCAGCTGTTCAATCATCTCTTCAAGCTCAACATCTTTTCCCGATCTTTTTGAAACTCCAGTCCCTTGCTCTGCCTTCTTTTTGTCCTGTACCAGTCGTATTAACTTGGTGGCCATCCTAAAACAAAAATGGTAGCAAATTATATCTCACAATTCCAAAAAACATTTCCAAGATATAAATAACTAGAAAAAAAAAAGAACAGAAATATATTCAAAAGTATATCCAAACAGTTATTTATTTTTTATAAACATATAATTACAAAAATTGGTCTGGCAATAAAAAAAGTTTAAAATCGCTCATTTTACTCTTCTTAAAAGTGATGTGGGAGGCACTATAATTCATGAAAATTGTCTAAAGCCAGAAGCCTTCAGATTTGCTGATTCATGCCACCATTTTAAAATGGCACTTGGGCAAATAACTGCTATCCCCGCACCATTTTAAATCGGCAGTTGGGACACAAGTGGAAAACATAACATTTGTTTTAAATGAAAATAAATAATATAATTTTTTTTATATAAAGTTAGACTCACAAATACGTACAAAAATGTCACAAAAGCATGCACTGACAAGCAAGTTGTTTCCGTCAAGTCTTATCACCAACATTTGAATGATTTCAGTATTAAATCTTCATCAGGTGTACTGAATCACCCATTTTCGCTTTATCCTGAAAGCGCACATTTTTTGTTCCCTTGTATCTTACATGTGTCTTTACACTACACAAGGAGGATATATGGAAGGAAAAGGAGGATTTCTGACGTGAGAAGAAAAAAACAGCTATTTTTTTACCAAACAGGATCTACATGCAAGGCAAGACTTTGTGGGGATATTCACAGAAAATTAGAGGTAGTTAAACAGATTTTTTTCCTTTGGAGGTTGTGCTAGTCTGATGCTATGCTTTTGTGTTACTATTTTTTTATCCAATCTTTATTTATCAAGCTATTAGAAGCTATGTAAAGAAACATAGACAAAAGTAGACAAAGCCAGAAAAAATGTAAAAGAAAGGCAATGAGATATGGAACATTGTGTATTAATGACAGTATACATCTGCTTAGTGAATTACTGAAGTAAGGCATTGGCAAAAATTATACACTGGAGTCAATCAGGTAGATTCTTGAGATCAATATGTTACCCTGCATAGAAAAACTCTATGTGTAGTACTGGTGATGATTAAACCCAAGGTTTTGAGTCCATGCTTCTAATAGTAAAGGATGTAGTCCGTGCTCCATAGATTTGAAGCAGAATAATATAGACAAAATAAAATAACCAAAAGGAGAGATACAAAAAATTCAGTGTAACAAGGTAGTACCCCAGAGGATGACCTTTCAAGGAGAAAAAGAGAAAAAAAGGAGAAAAGAAACAGACTAGATTTTAGCTAGCTGGGGCTCATAGGATTCCACCTCAGACTTGCACAATCTTGTGCATATAGTTGAAAGTGATCTAGGTCAATACATAACCACGTTGTCACCAATCATAAAAATGATTTTAGAATAGTATGGCAGGCATCACGGAATGGCCTTAACCAAATACCTTTCCCCAAGGTTTAGTCACCAAGGCTTAACCAAGATTGAAGCCATAATAATGAAGAGATCAGGGGAGGAAGGCAATGAGGACTGGTTACGCATTGTGTCTTTGCTCCCCTCATGTTAACTCATCATGTCCCCGTAGAGTGGTTACTGGCACTGGCAACATTCTGAGTTTGGGGCACTATTAGGGGAGGGGGTATAAGATTGTCCATTGGGTGAAAAGAAATGGCTGGTCTGTTTGGTACATATCTTAAAACTCCCTCACCTGGGATTAGGAAGCAAGAGTTTTCAGATCATCTCTTAAGAGATTCCAACTTCAGGGGTTTAGAGAAAACTTAAACATAAAAAAGTTCTCACCAGGAAGTAGTAGGCCCATGAAGATCCCAGTTGCTTGAACTGCTGTATAAGCTGGGACTTGGTGAAAGAAGTCATAAGTAGTTGTTGCCCTTTAGCCAGGGTGGTCAGATAACTACCTTGTTTAGGTGACAGTTTGTGTGGATAGCCATCCAGGATTCCAGAAGGAACAAAGCAATTGCTGGCGAAAATCACTATAACATTTTGGCAGATCTGGTGTTGGAATATTCAAGTCAGAACAAAAGTGTGAGATATCATTAGGACTGCATAGTTATACTAGCAGACCGTTGTGTTGAAAACATGGGAAGCACCACTTATAAGTGAACCCTTTCTCATGCAATACTGGCAGGAGAGGTTTCAAAGCTTGCCTGCTCTGCAAAGTTATAGGCACAAGATTCTGGAGTTTAACTACTGTTCCAGTAATGGAAATCAGCTCATTTTCCTTTGCTCTTTTGAGAATTTCTTCCAGTTCTAGGCAACAGATATTACACACAGGGGTGCATCAGGAGGTCCCTCAGGTCTTAAGGGTGTTCAATCCTATCAACATTGATGCTCAAGCCAACGATAAAAAAAAATATTGTACAGTGGGTAAAAATTGCTCCTTTAGTATAGTCTCTGGGACTCCTCTTTATGCAGTCATCAAGATCTTTTATGTGCCTATTATAAGTAATCAGGTGCATGGCATATGTGGCCGTAGACTATTGTAGATAGGAAATAGTGTCAACGTGAGTCTTACCCTCTACAATGGTTCCATCTAACCTGGATGAAATTTCCGGTAGATCTGACCTCAACTCAGTTATGGCACCCCAGTGTAGATTTAATGTCTACTGCCAACAATCTCATGTCTGCCAAAGTAGGGAACTGGTATGAGTAAGGAGTGGTAGTTGTAATTGTCTGGTGCTGTATGGTGCTGTCCCCTGAGGTACCTTCCTATTGGCCTCAGGGGACTCAGACTTCTGTGAGGAAAAAAAGTCCACTATGCTACAAGGGAGTTGTGACAGTGGGTCTCTGATCAATTTGGACGCTTGGAGGGTTTTGCTAATCTTCCCTATGGTTGAAATCAAGCAGTGTAAGGTAGCTTTTTTGCTCACTTTCCCCTCATGGTGCTGGAGCAGAATTTGCGTGTGGCCATCATTGGCCATCCGCCCTCAATGCACTTCTAATAAAAGGATTTTACAGGGAGTAGAAAAAGCCAAATTTCTTTCTCAATAATTTAAGGCACACGAGATTCAGAGACAATTGGGACGTCCAAAAGCAGTATAACTGAGGGGTGGGCCACATAGCAAACAAAACGCTAACAAGCCCAACTAAAATAACAGAAAAACAACTGGGGACTGCTAGCATCTCACAGAGCTGCCTAAAAGACCTTGTGCCAAAAGCTGGCATTAGATGAGGTATGAACATCCAGCAGGTTAAACGTATACAATCTGTGAACGATAGACCAGATCAACGGCCTCACAAAACTGGGAGACAGTTCCCTCATGCCAGAAAGCCCTAGAAACACTCACAAATCTAGTAGAGTGTACCTTGACAGAAAAAGGTGGAATCCAATCATAATTACCATAGCGAAAAACTGGTTCCCTTTTTCGGGGACCATCTGGGTTGACACAAAGGGAGCCAGTTTGTTTTTTTTTAGCAAATTATTTTTATTGGTATACAGCATTGTAATACTAGTACAGCCCTCAATGAGGGTGTATATAAGAAAGAAAAACATATGCATAGCAGATAAGGAACAACATATACATAATTACCGATAACCAGCACAAGTGGATTATGTGAATAGTATTTCCCGAAACCCGGCCATAAATGAGTGTCTTTACACCACTAAGGTCATTACAGAGTGAAAATGGTGTAGCGCACAAAAAGCGATTACATAAATTAAAAGAGATAAAATAAAAGCTATAAAAAGACAAGAACACTAAATTGTGTGTCCCAGATTTGAGTATGGGAAGGAAGTAATGTCCGAGGAGCCCTAAAGAACATCTAAACGACCCAGGGTTCCTGCTACCTTGGACTCTAGGTACCACTCTGTATATTGAAACAGTGACATTAAAGCTTCTAGTTGTCCCGGAGACAGCTCGGTCAAAAGGAAGGTGGACTAAGTGGCAAAAAATTTGGAAGTATGTTCCTGGGTGAATTGGGCCTCCAATTTGTCAAAAGCCATTAGTTTGTGGAGGAGTTCCTTCAATAACGCTAAGGAAGGGGCGGAAGGTAGTAACCAATTTATCAAAATAGTCCTTTTTGCCGCCAGCAGGCATAAATGTGTCTTGGGGCGGATGTGGAGGAGGATGTAGGTAGTGAGTGAAATAAACAAATAACTGGTGAACAGGATCTCTGAATCCCCGCATGGGCGTTCATATAAGATAAGACTGAAGACCAAAATTGCTGAATGTTGGGGCACAGCCACATCAAGTGGTCCAGATCAGGGTATTGGGTGTAGCATTGGATATGATTGGGGAACACGGAGGGAAAGTCAGTGCAAATAGATAACCTGAGGTGAGATAGAAGGGTGGAAAGAGAAACCTTCTGTGTTGGCGAGGCTAAAAGTCTATAAAAGGACATGTGCGTCATCATAGACCACGGGGTAGGGAGGTAAGTATGGATAAAGTGACAAACTTGTGCGTACTGCAGGAAATGTTAACCTGAGATCCTGTAGGTGTATTGTAGGTCCCTGAACGATTTACATAACCCTTGAGGTGATAGCAGGTCCTTTATGGTGCAGATACCCTTCGTTTTCCAAAGCAAGAAAACGTTGGATTCCCTGCCTGGGGCAAAGACCGTGGAAGATACGAGTGGCATCAGGGGAGAAACCACCCCAGGGATCCGATATAGTTTCCGGACCTCCCTCCAGGCTATAATGGTGTCTCTCAGGAGGATATTGGTTTTGATGTGTGCGGGAAAAGTTTACCATGGTATGTGAAGGATGCCTGATAGGGACCAAGGAGATACTATAGTCTGTTCCAAGATTGTATCAGTAAAATGAGCAGTACCATGAATCCAATCCCTAGCATGTCTAAAGAGGCTGGCCAAATTGTACATCATAACATCAGGTAGATTTGCCCCAGCAAAGATTTAGGCCGCTGAAGTTTGCGCAAGGCTATGCGTGAACGTTTCCTTCTCCAAATAAATGTAGTAAAAGCTTTGTACAGCAGGCAAATATCGTCATGCTTGATGAGGAGGGGTACCGTCTGTATGGGATATAACAATCGTGCAAAGCTGATCATACGTATCAAGTGACAT